GCCCCAATGAGGGCTCTCGCGCCTATTCCGTTTAGTATTATTAAAATTCATTCTGTTAAGCATTGAAGCAAGGTGGCATCATCACGCCACACGATAGACCATAAATCCACCCACTTAACATCGGCCATGGTCGAGATTCGAACCCGGGTGCGAGACCAGCATGCTGACCATCCATCCACTTAAGATGCGGGCCCGGCGGCCGGAAATTTGTGATCAGAATAGGACTTGTTCAGAGTGAGTTAATAGATTTCGTGATCGGTTGATGTCTATCACGCATAGAGCCGACTTTCCGCACAGGATTCTGCATATATGCACTTGCTTCCCTCTAAGTCTGGCAATCCGCGTATGCTTGACACGCACAACCATCTGAAATATTTTTGGAGGGTGTATAAGCCTGGTGCGTAGCCACCCTCCATTTTGGAGGGTGGATAAGCCCGGTACGTCACCGCCCTCCGTTTTGGAGGGTGTATACGCGCAGCCTATAAAATAACGTTACCTAAATTGCATCACTAATCGATTCTGACTGAATGTTAAGCATTTTCAGACAAACATGGCTTGGCCATGTTAATACACCTTGTTGAGTTCTCGAACTGCAATCAAATCTTCATCTTTAAATTTCCATCAAACATATCGACCTACAGTCAATCTTCGCGATGTCCTTACTGTCTGTAGAACCCAGACAAAACATTCTGACAAAGCTCCTGAATTCTAACGGTATATAAAGTGCCCACTAAACCATTGTAAATTAACGGCAACGGTGCTTTATTGCATGCGGCCGTTCAACGTCTGATTTCTGCAGTTTATTGGCTTTAAAATACAAACAGAATTGATCTTACTGCCGTTGCTGGTTTCTGCTTTGGTTGCAAGGTAAAAATAACAATGAAACGAAGAAGAAAACCGTATCCCTTGCTGACAAGTAGGCCATATCCGGGATTTTTTGGGGAGAGGGGTCACAACAAGAGGGGCTTTTGCTAACCCTGTGTTCACCTTTGGTAAGGCTCTGGCTACGTCCGTACCTACACACAAAAGCAGATCAAGTCGCCTACGCTGAATGATGGGCAATCAAATGTCCGTTGGACCAATTCATACCTGAGGCAGGCAGCTTCCTGTTTTTTTTTCTGGAGTGGTGTGGTGTAAGGGAAGATTTTTCGGAAAAGATACTCTTGCAGGTATCCAACATGTTTTACACACTAATTAGTAGAAATGCAGATCAAGAAATATTCAACGAAGCAGCCACACGATCAGTTCATTAGTCAAGCGGGAGACAGCCGGGCCTGGACAGTGGCCGCCGATGGCAGACGGGAGCAGTGCTCAGATAAGGAATATATGACAGAACGGCCTTCAGTCTGTGGCTTGGTTGTTAAAGAAGAATGTCTGGCTTTATGGCCTTTGTCACAGTGTTTCTGGCAGTTGCGGGGTTCGAATTTGTTTCCGCCTAAAATGCTGCGACAAGTCTTATCTCTTGAAAAGCAGCCAGCGAAATGCAGGCGCATGAAAAATAAGGCGCACTAGTAGCCGTCGACTCACACTCAAAACTCTCATCAGCCTATGTCCAAGCCATATTTTGGTGTCTACCCTCTGAATGCAAAGCCCTCCTCAATGACCCAAAATCAAAAAGCCGCTCGTGGAATTTTGCGCCCCCAGGAAAGACAATGTTGAATTGGAAGCTGGATAGCCTTATTTTCCGAATGACATAGATGAGTCGTATAGACAAGATTGCGCACCAGTGAGAAACAGTCCTAGATGCATATCTGGCATAGCGGCATGACATTTGAATAAAGAGCGGTAACAACCTCCATCTCTACACCCCCCTCCCCCCTCCTGGCCATCGGGCTTGCTTCGCAGAAAAAGTTCTTGAAATATGCTCCGAGCTTGCCTCCCACACACTTTTCGAAACGTTCCTGCGCCTTTGTTCCCGAGCGAGCAGGAAAAGTTGCAAGCGAAGGTGAAGGACCCACGAGAAGAAAACAACTCTTCAATAATTGAAAAATTGTGAATTGTGAATTCTAAGCCTCATTACACTGTCTAGGGGCGCTATGCTGTTTCTAGGAAACCCATATACTCACTTGCAGGGTCATTCCGATCGTTAAGAAGCCTACACGTTGCCCATGATCTCTTGCATTTGCTCGAAGAGCCTGGGCTATTGCTGGAGCCTTCCTGCTAGCGTGCCAGGGCACTGTTGTCAATCACGGGCCTTTCCATGGATTCTTTCCATTCACCAGAAAGGCTCCGTGGACTATAGCTGGGCCCCCATATCTTTACTTGCCGCAGTACTCTCGGTTGCTCATGGGTCCTTTACGTGGCTTTCTGTTAACCTACCGACACACTCGCGATATGCTCATGGGCCTTCTGCATTGGTCTAGAGCGCTTCCAATCCTCTGTCAGTTGCTGAGGGCCCTACGCTCTTGTGGAAGACCCATCTTACAGCCTGCTTGGGCACACTCGGTCGTTCGCGGACTCTCTGCACTGGGTCTTGGGTACTTTTTATCTGACTGGATAGGGGGGGGGGGGGCTACGTTCTTGTGGGGGCCTATGTGATAACCTGTTCGGGCACATTAGATCGCTCAGGATCAGGATCGCTTTGTTGGGTCTCAGGCACGTCCTACTTGAACGGAGGCCCTACGCACTTGTCGAGGCCTCCCCCTGTTCGCTTCCTCGGCCACAATGGATTGTTTGGGGGAGAGGGAGGGCTGCCCATCGGGTCTTTGTGTTTGAATTTAGACCCTGCGCTCCCTATCAGGCTCATCTGATAACCTGCTCGGCTACCTTCCATCTTTCAGGGGCCCTCCGCGCCGGGTTTTAGATACTTCTTATTTGAATGGTGGGTCTTACGCTCCTGTCGGGCTCCTTCCTGTAAGATGGTCGGGCCCATTCGATAGTTGAGGAACCTCTACATCTGGTTTTGGGTACTTCATGTTTGAATGGAGGTCCTTCCGCCCTTTTTGGGGTCCTATCTGTTAGCCTGCTCTGGCACACCCGATTATTCGGGGCCCTCTACATCATGTTGTGGGTACTTCATATTTGAACGGAAGCCCCTACGCTCTTGCCTGGGGCCCCATCTGTTAACTTACTCGGGCACACTCGATCATTCTGGGGTCCTCCACATTGTGTCCTTGGCACTTCCTATCTGAATGGAGGGCGCTACGCACTTGTCGGGAACCCATCTGCTCGCCTCCTCGGCACGCTTGAGTGTTTGGGTTGAATGAATGGTCCTGTGTTCTTGGCGGGCCCCACCTTTTAAGCTACTCGGGCCACTGGCGAATGCAGGGGGTGGCTGGAGACACAGGGCCATGCCCCATGTACCATGTCGAGGGGACCTAAAGGCTCCGAAGGGGCCCGTAACCGGCCGAACGGTCGCAGTTTTCTAACAAAAAAATCAACAACAAAAACAAAAAACAAAAACAAAAACAACATTCGACGCCTTTGGGCCAGCAGGCAGCCAAGAACATTGCTAGTAAAAGCGAAAAGTTCATAAGCAGACGAAGTTCGTTCTTCGCTGGTTGAGGTATTGCTTGGGGGAAAGTATGGGGCTCATTACGCTGTTTGGAGGCATTACGCTGTTGATTGCCTTGGCCCTATATGTCTATTTGCCGGATCAATCTAAGGTCCCGTTTCCCTTGATCTCTTTGCATTTTCTCGTAGGACCTAACGCTGCCGTTGGGACACTATCTGCTTCCATGCTTGGGCACTCTTGGTCCATGCAGGTTTTCCTCCACGGATTTTTCCCATTCGTCCGAAAGGTTCTACACGCTTTTTCCGGGGCTCCATATGCCAGGGTGCGCTTAGTTGCTCAGGGGCCCTCTTTATTAGTCTCGGGTTCTTTCGACTTGCTTGGAGGGCCTTGTGCTGTTGTTGGGGCGCTGTAAGGTGAGGCACCGAGACATTCGATGTTCAGGGGCCCACTGATTTGATCAAGGACTCTCTCCCTTTGATCTCACTTGCAAGGACTCTCCACTCCTTCAAGGCTCTTTCTGCTAGCCTGCCCGTGCACTCATGATCGCACAAGTGTATTAGCTTATAATCTTGGATAATGCCCTTTGCTCGGAGGGTAATGTACTCTGGCCGACGCCATATATGTCAGCCTGTCGGGAGCACCAAGGATCGTTTAGGGGCCCGCCACGTTAGTTTTGGGTTCTTTTTGCTTGCTCTAAGGGCCTTGTTCTCGTTGACGAGAGCCCCTTTGTTAGCCTCCTGCAGCACCCAGGATCTCTCAGGTTCCGTCGCTATTACCCTTGGTACTTTCGCTTTAGAGCGGCAGTCGAATATGCGCCGGTGAATTTTTACTTGCAATTGTCGAACGTAATCTTACGTGCCGCCGACATCATATGTGTCATTTCCATTGGCCATTGAGTGTGTGACACTTATTTTACTAGTGCATCACGCTCGAAATGTATTTTGAATGCTAGGATATCTTGTACTACTTTAAAACAAAGGAAAAACCCTGCGTTAGTCATCAGCCACCAGCTGATTACATCGCCCAGCCGGCTAGCCGTAAATAAGCTGGGAATGAAGTCCGTGCTTGGTTTTGATGGTAGTTAGCAGCCAACTCGAGTTAATTTTGCCTGTTGTTCTGAAATACTTAGCCTCAAAATTACAGCATTTGACGTGATCTGTAGAGCATGGATGAACTGTATGTACATGCATACGTAGCACACCGAGCTTCATAAGGCTGTGCACAGTAAGATGGGTTTCCGTGTTATTTATGTATATATGTATACACATATTCATAATAAACTACATACTATTTGTCTTCAAAGGTACTGACGTGAATGCAAGGATATTTCGGAGGGAGCCCTAAACTCTAGGTCCCCGCCCCTTGGCGAAATCCTGGACCCGCCCCTGAAACCAGCGCGCAAAAAAACGTCTTTAAACGCCGCCGTATCGTTGGTGCCATGTAACTTAGTCCTATGATGACGTCACAACATCGCCAACCAATATGCGGTAATGCGGGGATTGATTATGTGCTGTTGGCGCCAGCTTGTAAAAGAGTCGGAGCCTAGGGCCCTAGTTGGAGCGTGGGGCGCGTGCGTTCCTCGTGCCTCAATAACCCTGTCGAAATGGATATACATGCGTTGCCTGAAACAGGGCATGATTCAGAAGTTCTCCCTGAAAATAATGTGGAAGAGCATGATGAACCATTTGACAACCACAGAGCTCAAGCACATCCAGAGGACCCTGCACTGTCACCAGGTGGGGGTGGCAGCAGTCATTTGCAGTCATTGACATCATGCTTACCCTCTCACCAACATGGTGAGGTGCCAGAGTGAGAAACAGTATGGTGTGTTAAACATATCTGGTGCAGGAACTATGATTCGCAAAAATTTCAGTACATGTGCATAATGAACCTGAACACTCAGAGTTTGGTCCATAGTCAGCACTGATTTCAGCATATATGGGGTCGAAGCTTACAGGAATTTCCCACATTTCATGATGGGATTACTTTTATGTCAGTTATTAAACCAGTTAGTATCTTACAGGTTTAACAAAGAGATCTCCAACAATTGAAGACAACCCGAGCCTGAGGGTTCCGTTCAACCGTGGTAAGTTGTTTTTTTGCATGTAAATGCAAGTCATTACAAATGTAGCTAAGTGATCAGGCAGTTTCAGGGTTCAAAGGGCTTTTCTGACATGCACTTGGTTGATAAGAACTACTCTGCTGCCAACAAATTCCATGACCCTGTGTTTCTGAGTAGAATTTATTATCAGTTGTCATTTGTTGGATAGAAGACATTGAGTAAGTGAGAAATGCAGCCAGTCTATTACTTGAAAGTTCTTCCACATAATTTTGTGAATATAATACCCAATGCCAATTTCTCTTTGCATGCCACCTGGGTGGTTGCTATGTGCGGTGTGCTGCTATGATGTCTCAACAAAAAGTTTCATTCAAACTTGACTTATGCTGTTCCCCTATTGGGTGTTGAGCCAATTCTTGGCAAGCTTCCAGGCTTGATTCATGCTGAGCCAAGTCCAAAACTTGTGTAGCATTTAAGGACCTTTGCTGACATTTATCACAGGAATCTGTTTTCTCTGCATTGCAACTTTTGCATCACAAGTTTGTGATTTTGTAATGCATTGTGTTGCAGCTGTGAACATTATTACTCATTTTGCAAAGCCCTGTGGTAATTCAAATTAGCCCAGGAGCTAGCTGAATGGAAACAGAGTACCATACAGAATACTATAAGCATGGGTTGAAGTACTGACTGTGGGAAGCACAGTGGCTGTGCAAAGCAAGCATGTTCCATGCCGCCTGCTCTGGGCAGCATGAAATTGTAGGCAAACCTTGGTGGTGGATCAGTGAAGTTTTTGCACTTTTTGTGATAGTCATATCTGTCATCAACATTCATGTCATAGATTACACCAAGCTGCAATGAAGCCTGGTGGAACATGAACACATGGTGGTCACATGGAATGTTTGAACATGGTATTGCCCCATGGCCATTGCAGTTGCTGGCACCTCATTTAAGGGTGTAGTGACGTGCATCTCGTTCAGCATGATTCTGCTCACTCACCAGCCCGGCTGACTGCGACCTGCACCCGTCGCCCGACCCAGCCTCTCCGTGAAGGTGACCCTGTCCCGGTATGTCGGCAGGCTGGCGGCGCGAGGTAGTTCAGCGAGCGTGCACCGACGAGCAGCGGCCCGGCCAGATCCGCGCCGATGCTTACTACTTCTCCCCCCGCGGCAAGAAGCTGCGGTCCATCAAGGAGGTCGATGCGTACCGTGAGTCGGCCTGCGAACAGGTTGACCCAAACGTGACTGTTGTCAGGTGTTTGATGGTTGCTTCTAGCAGGAGGTATAAGTGACTATATTCTACTTGATCTAGCTGTAGCATTACTTGAGTGATGTCGGTGCAAGAAATGCTTTGGGGGCCTTTTTCTGCTCGCTCCTCCCGGGCTATCGGGACTTCAGGAAAGTGAACAGGTCGAGAAACATTGTCGAAATGCGCCATTGTCCTGTGCTATATCGTTGGTGAAGTCTGACGGGCCGCGGCTCTTCTCCGCAGTGAAGAAGACGGGTTCGAGCCTGGCCCTGGGATGTTTTTCGTTCAGCCGCCATCTTCTGGGCGTCGGACGGCCGCTCGAGCAGCTGCGCAAGGCGCGACCGGTGGTACCGACCGGCAGCCCCCATCCTGCGGGCGAGAAGGCCGCCGCCCCCGCCGGCAAGGTAGACCAGCTGCTGCTGCTGTGGTAGTGTGGTGTCTGCGGCCATAACTTCCCCCTCGCTCAATCAGTTAGAGCGTCTGCTTCCCGACATACCTGTGGTGGAATAGGTGAGTTCGAGTCGTTCCGACTGTGGCTATTTGCTGCTGCCTGAGATGGCCTGCTGCTGGTGTCGGTGCCAGTCAAGGAGGTCAGAGGGCAGGGTAGACCGTGCTAAGCTTTGCAGCATGTTAAGATTTTGCTATCAAATTCTGTGTTGAACCGGAATCCCGCGATGAGATGATGGGGTCGTGGATCGCACAACAAAACTGCTAAGCACGACCTCTTGTCCCAAAAATCCAACCAAGCAAAATGCTCAGGGGAAAATAGAAAAGAAGATGGCACCACAGTGGACAGATCCGACCAATGTTTGCATGCCCGACTGGGCTTGGGTAGCCGTGGAAGCGCCGGCACACCTGCAGCTTCACGTCACCGGCCTCGTGATGCAAATGTGTAGGTCTGGGGTATGCAGGCGTATGGTTGGTGAGTGTAGAGTGCTGGCGTGCTGACACTGATATGTGGATGATTGCCCGCAGGTGCCAAGGAAGAACCATACCATCACAATTGGGTCGGCTTCATCTGTGATCAAGGTAAGCCAAGGCAGGGGCCAGGGAAACTGCCCATGAGTGAGCAACGCCCCTCCCCCTTACGCGAGTCTGGCGTTTCCCTGTTCAGCATCAGCGCCATTCGTATTGGTTCAACGGTTTGCGTGCCCGAGTCGTCGCCACTCCTCCTACCTCCCTGAACTGGCAGTTTGCATCCTAAGCGCCATATCTGATAACAGCTCCAGTTGGAGTCCGGGGTAAAGGTACGCGTTATTGCTGAACCAGCGCTCGCCGGCGCACGCTATTGCTATGATCTAGTGCTGGCCCACGTCACGCTGAAATTCATTTAGTGTCATGAGTGGACATTTGTCCCAATGTTTTCATCAGGATTGTTTTCAGGTTGTTGTGTATGCCTTGACCCCAGGGCCCCAACCCTGGGGTCAAGCTGGGTGCCAGTCGGTGAGTGCTAATTGCAGTCCTCCGAGCCCAGCGGCGCGCTGCTAGAAAGCGAACATAAATGCGTGCCACGCAATGATCAGTGCAGAGCCCAAAATAAATGTGATATGTCTGAGTATCCCATGTCCCACCAACTGAGCCCCTGGGCTACATAGGCATATTCTATGTGTCTTTCAAGTATATTTTCGTCGCGTTGTTAACTAGTCATGCGCGTATGATTACTACGCCATAAATGATCTGCATTATCATAAGCTGCTTCATTGCTGCGTATATTTACCCGGCGGAGGGGTGTTAGTCACTACAAGTGCCATGTTGGGCTTGTTTCAGATTCCATCCGCGCCAGTGTCGCCACAGTCACTGCGAGTGCCATGTCCGGCTCGTTTCAGATTCCATCCGCTCCAGTGTCACAGTCACTGCGAGTTCCATGTTCGGCTCGTCTCAGATTCCATCCGCTCCAGTGTCACAGTCACTGCGAGTGCCGTGTTCGGCTCGTTTCAGATTCCATCCGCTCCAGCGTCACATCCAACTAAAGCGCCCCGGAAGCATTCACTGATGGAGAAGTCACGCAAGGCCTTTGTATGGAAGGCGATGGAGCTGAAAAGAAGTTGCCTGTCTTTCAACCCGATATGTCCAAAGCCAAGGTATCAGGATTGAGCCCGCGTTTCATTTTAGCCAAGGTGTGAAGGATATTCCCGCATTTAATTCTCTATGTACTTAATGCAAAAGCATTGGAGTTCCTTCCCACATTTCATTTTTGGATAAAATTAGCATGCTCGCTGAACACGTGTTTGTAAATATCACAAAGCCCCCAGCGTTGACCTGAAAAACGGGTACCGTCACGAATGCGCCGTGGCCCGGTTGCCATGGTGACGCCAGGGCGTGCGTGTGCCGGCAGCCGGCGCCAACTGAACGCAGCCAGCCGGCGGCGTCCGCGGCGTCGTCCAGCTCTGACCCGCACCGTGTGTTAGTGCGGCGGCCGTGGCAGCTGGCCGAGGTGGACGAGCGCGGTCAAGTGTCGTGCCGCCAGCCGCCCGACGGGCCCACCACCGTCGAGTACTTCCGGCTGGTGCGCGCCACGGCCGCGCCGCACAGCGCCGACAACGTGCAGATCGGGTGAGGCGCCGCCGCCCAGAGAGACGGCGCCAGCTTATCCGGTGGCGGTCTCGAAGGGGGTTGCTGTACTGCACCACGTTTGAATCTTTCAGTCGTGCGCCGCGTTCAGTAAAAGCTGAAACAAGAAAGATCAAAGCGACGCTTGTCGAAAGGGGTTTGTCCGGAATAATTTTTAAGTTACCTCTCGTTGCTGGAGTGATCAGGGTAGTTATTTCGATATATCCAGGCTGGCCACGTCCATAAATTTCGACGCATTGTCGGGAGACTGCAGGTAACATCCCACCGAGGTGCAAGTGACCTAACCCCGTCAGCCGAGCCGTGTCTGACCCTTGTCCCGGCGCGGCATGTCGCAGGCAGAGGCGGCCGCCGACGCCGTGCAGTCTGTTCTGCTTCTCGGCGGAGGGAGAGGCGCGGCCGGCACTGCCCTCCGTCCAGTGCCTGGTGTGTCGCTGCCTCTCACACGCCTCCTGCGTCGGGCTTGACGACGACGACAGGCTGTTCAGCTTTGTCTGCGTGGTGAGTGCGCCGCCGCGGTCTGCGCGGCCCCGCCGCCCGGCTCCTTCCGGGCTGGCGTGAACGGCTCGGTTACGGTGCTTTGCTTAGTGTTGCCGACTGGTTCACATGATGCGGGTAACTATTTTCGACGCTGTGAAGCCGGTGATAATATGATGCCGTGCGGAGAGAACGAGAATGCCCACTTCTACGCGCGGTCTTGCCTGATTTTATTGTTCTGTTAACCGTGAAAGCTTTCTGTTTTTTCGCGGTACCTTTTCGGCGAATACTTTTTCTAGCATTGTCGCGAAGCGTAAGTGGCGTGTTTCCGTTACCGATTGTAATCCGTGTGGCCGGCACACGGGTCTGCTGCCCAACTGCGCACGACTACACGTCGCATACTATCAGTCGTTCTGACAGCGCACAGTAGAACGCAAGTATTCAAGGAAATTTCCGTCGTAAGTTGGGCAGGAAAGCGCGCCTCGCGTCGCTTGTGAGCAGCGAATCAGGGGAGTGGCGGCAGCTGCCCGTCGGGACGGTAGGGAGGTCACGTGACTCTGACTGCCGCGACGCTCTGACCACGCCCCGTGTCTCCAGGACTGCTACCTGGGCGTGCAGAGGGGCCTCGGCTTCGACGGCGTCGGCGACTCGGTACCGGCCGACTCCGACTCAGACCCGGACCCGGGCGGCGCCAGCGACGGCAGCATGGAGGAGCTAATCCCGCCGCCGGCCGAGCTGGCACTGCCGCTGCCGCCGCTGCCGTTCGCCGCGTCCGGCCGGCCGCCCATAGGTGAGCCGGCGCCGGTCGGCCCGTGAGCTTGCGGCACGGACGTCCCGTCACGAGCGAACACTGGCTCCGCGCGCTGGGTCCGCAATCCTCCGACTTGTAGTAGCTGGTGTATAAGCATCATCCGCGTAGCGTCTCTAGTAAGTACACTGTAGCAAGCAGTTAATGCTGCAATGACGTATTTGTGTATATTGGTGTAAGTAATAAAGCCTTTTTAAAATATTGTATTGGGGAAAGCCATCCATCTTTTGAGATCGCCATTATCCAGTCAACAGCGTGGTTTGGATGTCTGCAAGTGCCAAGCTCGGTCAGTCAATGCGTGCCGGTCCCGCCGCTGGCTGTGTGTCAATATAACGCCTGTTTCCCTGCCAGATCTGCCCTGACCTGACCCGCCACCCGTGTCTACTATCACGCCTGTGTACCTGACAGACCTGACCTGACCCGGCGCCCCCGTGCAATATATAATTTTTCCTTCCTCTCAAAATATACCTATGTCCCTGCCAGACCTGACCTGACCTGACCCGGCGCCCCTGTCAATATCACGTCAGTGCCCTGACAGACCGGACCTGACCCGGCGCCCTTGTCCAATATATTTTAGAAAAAGATACACCTATGCCCCTGCCAGACCTGACCTGACCTGACCCGGCGCCCCTGTCCGTCGGCAGGTATCAAGCGGCCGCGCGGCCGTCCGCGCCTGATCGGACCCCGCCCCGGCCGACCTCTGGCCGGGCCCGGCTCGCGGGGCCGCCGCGCGCGTGGCCGCGGCCTCCGCGGCAGTCGCGGCAGTCGCGGCGCCTCGCTCGCCACCGTGGCCGGCGGCGACCGTGCCGCCCAGATGCCTGTCGTGCCCAAGAAGCGCTCCTGGAAGGACCCCGAGTAGCGGCGGAGGCGGGCGTGCGCGCCGGCTGTGTCGCGCTGTGGGGGTGCGGCTTCTAAAAAAAGACGTCGCGGACTACAGCCGCGCAGGGAGAGGGTCAAGGCCAGGGGGGCAGGGGGAGGGGCGGCACGCGGTGGAGCTGGACTGGAGCCGAGAGCTGCCGGCTGAGCGGCGGCGCAGTGAAAGCGGTGGAAGAATGCGGCCACCGGTACGAATGGTGACTGCGCTGTTGGACATCAGCGGGACCGAGAACAACACTTTCGGCGTACAGCTTACATCGTTGTGGCTTGGATCTGGAGAAAAAAAACAAGTCACTGGTTTGTCCGAGACGGGTTCTCCCATGTTTTTCTAACCGACACATGGCGTATGCCCCACACCGGAAAACCAACACATCGGTACCGAACGCAAGGTGGTCAACTTCGTGTTCGTGTTTCTGCAAAATGAGGCGAGAAAAGGTGATCCTCTGCAGACTACGCATCGGCCACACGTACGCAACCCACCGCTATATGTTGGAGGGAGCCGATAAACCTATCTGCCATCGATGCGGCGCTGTCCTCACCGTTCGTCATGTCCTTGTGTCTTGTCCGCGCCTCGTGGAAGAACGCCAACGTTACTTTGGACAGCATGACTCGCCCCTTACCCTAAGTGATATGATAGGAGACAACTCACAATTTCTCGGAGCTCAACAGATCTTCTTATTTCTCAAACACACCAACTTTGGAACCATTTATGCTGCTTAATAGATGGGTAAAACAATACACGTTATGGGCGCCAAATGACTACCGCAGTCGGCGCGCCCCCAAACTCCAATAAACAACAAAGGTGTTCAACTTTGCGATTTAGGCCATTAAGTTTTCAGTTGCTGCAGGCTAGAAATCGTCCAGAGGTTTGCGGGGCTGCCACTAGGTATCAGAGGAAGCAACCAAATGCTTCTACGAAACCTTGCTCAGGTTTTGAAATGGTGTGATGTCGCCATATATGTGTGAGGTCTGCTGTTCTGGCGTCTCGCCTCCGGCTCGCTGGTACATTCAGTACGTCCAAAATCACCCCTGTATTTCACACTTCACAGGCACTCCACACAGCCGGTTCCGCTGGAGCGCGCGCCCTCGCGCCGGCAGCTCTCCGAGTCTTCTTCGTAATTCCCCCTCTCCTAGCCCTCGACGCTGTGTCCCTCGCGCGGGGCGCCTGGGGCAGAAAGGGGGGGGGGGGGGACGCAAGCGCCTTAAAGCGGCGCTCGCCAAACTAAGCAAACATTTACTGGCAACGCATAGATGTTCTCTGACGCCTTACATATGCAAAAGTCGCGATTTGGGAAGGATACCCGGAACTATTTCGCGAATTCTGAAATAGAGGCAAGTCCTGGTGACTGATGTAGTCGGTATGGCTACATGTACGTGTCTGTAGGTGTAAATATAATGGGTGTAGGCACATGTAGATGTAGGTGTGGTCCTAAAATATTCTGATGTTGGAGCCATTTTGCCTTTGTGTGGCCGAGTGTCAAATGTTGCGGACGACAAGCACTGTCGTGCATCTGCTAGCCAAAAGCCTGTGACACGAAGGTGGCGCGGCGTTTCGTTCGAATTAAAGGGTACGCACGTTACCGGATTACCGTACCAGTGCATGGCGTTGCTGAACGAAAAAAGGCCCTGAGGTGGGAAGTATCCCGAACGAACGTGGGAAGTTCGCGGTCATACGACAGACCTTCGGTTGCACACCTTGTGTAGAGCAGGGAACGATAGGAACGGGCACGACGAGCCACCGAATCCAGTTGGCTAGCGCACCAGTTGCTTCCCCGTTTACCTGTGGGCAGAAATGGAAGGGGTATGAGTTTCGGTAATCTGCTCATGTGCCTCTCGCACGTAACTCAAGGACGCGGCGTGTGAGGTGACAAGTTGATTGGATGCGCCCCTCTCTCCACTCCCCCTACCCCCCCCCCCCTGATTCCACCCACAATTAACATACGGCTTCGCACTCTCGTAAATTGGCTCAGTGGATGGGTGAGCAGGCGCGTCTCGGCGACGTCGGTCAACGTCATTCCATTTCACGGTCCCGTGGTGTTTTCCCAATCAGCTGGTTGCAACGTCGGCGACGGGATACGTGTTGCTGCGTCGGGAGGCGGCAGGCACATGTCGCGGTCATGAATCAACCGGGAATGAAGAAAGACGGCTGGGTCAGAATATTTGAAGTGCCATGTTTTGAGAAGCATGAAAAGGGATATACCATCTACAAAATCACATCCAAAGTGAGTATCTTTCCGAAAAGACCCGATAGCCGCTGCGTAATTTGTGCCATCAACTGGCGTTTCACTTTATTTTTGAAGACGAAAGAGAAGGGGCGCCAAGGGTGAGGTTTTGTACTATGCTCGTCCGCTGGGATTTGATGACGTCACGGTGTTTGTTGCCCTCGGTTACCCAGCAGGTCAGGTGCTCTGCTGCCTTCCAAAACTTGGGTGCTATATTGCTATTCATTGAAGTCCTCAGGGCCGTACCCACCGATCAAAATTGGTCCGGTGCAATATCATTATTTATACTGTCTGTTATACTTTCGGTACTGACAATTGTTGGCCAGTCTGTAGTGCAACACGTTTCCATGCTCTCTGTGTACCCAGTTCTACCGCATTTTCCCGCCCTGAAATATTTTGTAGGGATTGCTCTTGTTGCTTAACCCCGGGGAAGCCAACACTAGTGACGGCTCGCCCCCCCCCCCCTCAGTTAGCTTCACCAGCGCGCAATTTGTTGTCTGGCGTCCATTTTGGGTACGTAACTCTGCAATGTATGTGTCACTGTTATTGCCTGCATTTCAATTATTATCTGATTCCGAGATCATAAGTGTCTGCAACTGATCGTTTCATCATGATATAGAGGTTTTGCGTAGTAGCTGCCCCCCCCCCCACTCACTGCCGAGCATTACAAACGATGACGTCATGGAACGGATTGAGCATACTCTGGGAAAGATCTCGCTAGTCCGTTGTGGCTCTGCGTCGCATTGGCCACTGTAGTTTTACGCCTGCGCTGATGAATCCGATATGCCGAGATCGCGATGAATATATGCAACCATTTTGTTGATATCCTGCAAGCAACCACACATCTGCAATGCGGGAGATGCGTAAAAGCCTGTCAGCTTGATGAGCACAAATGCATTATCATTGTGATTTGTAAATTTTGTATTTTAGTCATTCTTGGCAATCATGGTGTTCCATTGCTGTGTTGAAGACTGTTTGTGCCTGACATGCTCAAAAAAACACTTCATAGCTATGGGTGCATCCCCTGCAGCTGAGTGTGCTGTAATGCCCAATGATGCACCAAGAATGACTTGTTGCATGTGCATTTAAGTCATCAGATGCAATGTGAAGTACTTGAAGCATAAAAGTCAAGTGAATCACCATCACATGGTTCTGATCAAGTGCTTGCTTTGGATGAGATCATAAAAAACTATTTTTCACACTGACAAAGGCCATTTGAATCAGGAATCTGATCACAAAATCAGTTTTGTGTTTGACATGACATTATCTTATAAATGCCATAATCTTTGCTTCCTGTGGAATGCACCCAAACATGATTATGTGTTTATGCAGGAGCATATCAATTGTTTGTTTTAAGTAATAAGTTGGTGAATATGGAATATCTCAGACCAGCTACATTTCATGTCTTGACAATTGCAGGTTTTTCCATGCTTATCTCCTGAAGCAAGTACTCAAGTCACTGTATGGAAAAGGTACAATGAGTTCAGGAAGTTACACAAGGAAATGGAGTCTCTGCATTCTGCACTCTATTTGAAGGGAACATTTCCAAGTTTGCCCAAGACAAGCTATTTTAACAGGTAAAAGTTGTACATTTTCATTTTGTGCAGTTTTGCTCTTAAGACTTTCCATATGATCCATGTTAACTGGCTGCCTTTTAGAGGGCTCCAAACTATGTCTTATATTTTTGTTGTTAGCATGTTTGTAAAGCTTGAGCCATCATTCTAAGTTAACTTTATTGTGTATGTCAGATGTTTATCATGCAGGCTCAAATGCTCTGCAGTCTCCAAGAGCTAGGTGTTTCTTTCCTGTTTTGCTCACCTGACACATGACAACAGAGCTACCCCATGGCCAGATTCGAGGCACCGGTGGTGGAAGAGCGGCAGGCGTCCATCCGTGCCATGCTTGAGTTTGTGGCCCAACACCGCTGTTTGCCAGTGCCAGCTTTGCCAAGTTCTTTGAGGTGAGTTTGATGGTAATTCTTGGTTCTATCTAAAGCATGTGAACACTCCTTTTCTGAAAAGAAACAAGCGATGTAGCTGAGTTGGAATTTACAGAGG